ACCAGTGCCCCACGTGATGTTTTTTGTGTTCACCTTTTAGTTTTTCGTCATTTATGTTAAAGCGATGTCCCTCGGTTTGCCTCAAGACGGGCTACCTGATAAGCACATAAAGAAAGCACAGGCCCTTCCTGAGGCAGAGGAGGAGCAGGGTGTGGTGAGGGGGGCAGAAAGGCCTCTCAAGCAAGAAGTATCATTACTGCAGTATCCTTCCCACAGTCCCCGTTCAGTAACACAGTTTTCTAAGAGTGTGAACATAATTTAGATTGTGTCACTGCAGTGTGTGCTTTTTTCCCCCTAAAAATCTCCATTTCCTGCAACAATGTCCACCAAAATGCAGAGAGACCTAGTGAGGGCTGGCTCGCGCCAGCACCCTGAGGCACCAAAGCAGCTGGTGCTCTCTCCACCTGCCTGCCCTGCCCGGCAGGGCTCTGGAGTGCAGGATTTAAGAGTGTTTCCTCTGGTCACTCTGTACTGTACTCCCCAGCCGCCATTTTGTGGTGGCCCCTAGCCACCATTTTGTGGTGGCCCCTAGCCTCCATGCCTCTCATGTGGAGGGGAGGCCCAGGGCAGCACAGAGCCTGGGGGTCTCTGCACCGAGGCCTCACTGAGCCGCAGATCGCCCTGGGAGGGTAACAGGTGGCTGGAAGCCTTAATAAAAGAGTGTTAGCCCCTCCTTTTTAGCCTGCCTGATCTACAGGCCATCAGGGGCCATTTTACATCTTCCCCCGGGGTCCCTTCTCATTGGCACAGCTTGGGCCTCTGCTGACCTCTGCAGGGGGGTGCAGGCAGGGCCTCTCACAGCCACAGGGCAAAGGTTTCATCCTTGGGGGAATGAATGCCACCTGTGAGAGGAGCCTTTCCCCACTAGCACTGGGGAAAAAAGGACAGTGCTTTTCACAGCACGCAGCTAGAAAGCCCGCGTAACTCAATCGTGGTTTTCCCCTGTGCTGTGTGTATCATTGTTTTTCCTAATCAGGAGAGGATGGGCCATCTGAACACGCCTCAGAGCATTTAACTTTTGAATTATAATATGTTGTCTCATTTTGCACGTGCAAGCTTTGGAAAAAAATGTTAAGCTCTGGGTATGGATGCTGCCACAGCATCTGTCTGTGTGTGGGAGCCCTAATGGGTGGGGCGCCCCCA